ATGAATAGTTTGACCTTGTGCGGGAGTTAATAATGCAATTACAGTCATTTGTGGGTTTGATTTTGTGGATTTGATTATTCATGGATTTAATTTAAAATGTTCTCTTTAGAAATCTCTAGGTCCTCCAGTATGAGTATATGATCAGTTTCCTCCAGTCCCCGAGACTAGTGTTTCTAGAAATCTCTAGATACGCCAGTGCAATTGTTAAGACCCAGAAGCCTCATGAATGCCAAACACAGTATAAAAGGTCCAAACAAAGGTTTATTAAACACAAAAAAGGCTTAGAGACACTTAACTCAATGCCTCTAGCACAAACTAAGAGTCTATAGCAATTGCTAAGCAAAAAACCCAATTTAAATATAATCTGGATTATACCGGAGTATAATCTGGGATAACAAAAAGTTACAGCAATCTGCTTGAAATTCAAAAGGTCCAAAAAGCACAAGAAAACAAGGTGGGAGCATGCAAAATCGAAGTCCAAAAACAGTCCAAAGTCCAGGCACATCCAAAATGAGATGAAGCAGTCCAAAAAGCAAAGTCATTGTCAAAACACAGTCCAGAGGGAGGTTGAAGTCAGCACTTATGGAGTTCCAGCCAGAAGTCACGGAAACACGAAGATCTGTAGTTCAAGGACCCAAACTTGAGAGTAATGGCAGTAACAAAGATCCAAACCCAATAAAACACTTTGCCTTCTGCAAAGACCCATTGAAAACAAACCTATTTATATTCTATAACTCCTCATCAGAGGATGAACTGCACCCCACCCTTTCATCATCACTTTCAGCTGCCCCATTCCCTGCAGCTGAGCAATGCCTCCCATCTCTCCACCTTTGCCAGCATCTTTCAATACTTAGGTCTTCCCAAGTGTTCCCAGATTGCCAGTCCTCTGCAAACCCCTCAAAGTCATCACTGGATTTAGGCTGAGTACAGAGGTCCCTAATCACCTGCACACGGGTCCAGTCTAAAGCATCCTCCTCCGCATCGTCACTCCCAGTCCCATCACTCCTTTCAAAACCCACAAAGTCTTCATCTTCTGTTGGAGCGCTAAGTATATCATGGATACACTTCCTTTGGAGCTCCTCATCTGATTCTTGTTCTCGAGTAGCCCGCTTAACTCCCCTGCTTTCCTTTCTTTCCCCCATTTCACAATCTGAGAAACCCTCATAGGACTCTGAATCAGTTGGAGCCATGAATATGTCTCTAATCCGCTTTCGCTGCTGCTTCTCCTCCAACACCTGCGCAGCCCTCTTCTCCCTTCTACCAGTAGTAGTAACGTCACTATCACGCTGTACTACAACAGCAATCTTGTGATCAGCTTCCAGCAGACATTCATCATAGAATCATACTGGAAGGCACCGGGATTGTGGCGCAGCTGGCTGAGTGTCAGCTGCATTAAGATCACTCTGACCAAAAGGTCATGAGTTCGAAGCCAGCCCGGGTTGGAGTGGGTTTCCAACCAATTGGGTGTAGCCTGTTGTCGACCTTTATTTATGAGGCCATAAAGAAGACTCCAGCAAAGCATTCCAGCGAGGAAGCATGCGGGGAATGCAGAAGTACTTCATCAGTGTCGCAGATGGATGATGAAAGCGACAGCTCCCCTGGCAGCCAGAAAAAAGTTAAATAGCCTCTGTATATGTTTGTATGTCAAAAATTGGCATTGAATGTTTGCCATATATGTGTACACTGTAATCCGCCCTGAGTCCCCTGCGGGGTGAGAAGGCCGGAATATAAAAGCTGTAAATAAATAAAATAAAATAAAATAAGGCCTGGAAATTCCTCGATAACTATTCTCTCAGGTAAAAACACAGCATTTTTTAAGTCATGTTTTCCCCTTTCATGGGGGACCTCTGCCCCTAACTCTAATGAAGGTGGGTTGCATATTGTAGTTAATTCTACACAGTGCTTCCCCTTTTTCTTAGCACTAAGTTTGGGTATAAAAAACTAAGACCCTACTGCTTCACATTTTATTTTCATTTACATTAAATGAAGGCAATCAATGGATATTATATTCTAGTCGCACAGACACATAAACTCTTTTGCTTTAGAATATTTAAAAATTGGTATGGTTTTCCTTGCTCATTCAGCAAATTTTAGGGTGTACCTTTAACATATAAGTTATTTAGACCTTCTTTATACAGCATGGTGCTCATATGGTTAGTCCTAGCTTTTTTATTTATTTATTTATTTATTTATTTATTTACTTTATTTATAGACCGCTGTTCTCAGCCCGAGGGCGACTCACAGCGGTGTACAACATGAAAGCAACAGTATTCAAAGCACGATAAAAACAATTCACAACATTATACAAAAAAACAGTAACATCATTTCTACAAAAAAACATTCCTCATCGTCTCATCGTCCAAACCACAATCCAGTATCATTTCCTGTCGTCATTACCAATTATTGCACTTCTTGTTCGAACGCCTTCTTGAACAGCCAGGTCTTTAATTTCCTGCGGAATATCATCAGGGAAGGAGCCAGTCTGATATCCACGGGAAGGGTGTTCCACAGCCGAGGAGCCACCACCGAGAAGACCTTTTCTCTCGTCCCCGCCAGGTGCGCCTGTGAGGCAGGCGGGATCGAGAGCAGGGCCTCCCCGGACGATCTCAAAGTTCTTGTGGGCTCGTAGGCCGAGATGCGGTCAGATAGGTATCTTGGGCCGGAACCGTTTAGGGCTTTAGGGCATTACTCTCAAGTTTGGGTCCTTGACATTTACTTATATAAAATATTTCTATAATACTTTTTGAAGCAAAGCCTCCTAATATGTTTTATCAACACAACAAAATATAGAATAATTCAAACGCAAAAACTATTTTGGAGTTGAATGGATTGTCATTGGTGGACAAAATTGCAGAAATTCCTAGAATTGGATCCACGGAATGTAGATAACTGCAGTTAAAACTACCTTTGCACATTTTAAGTACCCAAGTTGCAGCCAAGACAGAATAAAAAAAGTTGGGAGAAGTCCAGCATTGACTAGGCAGTTCAATACATGATCTCTAGTAAGAGCATTCTGTAACATTTAGTTGAAATCTATTGTCCTTAATGTAAATAGACCCAGTTTGACCCTGTGAGGCAACAGGGAATAAGCAATGCATTCTCCTTTTTGGCAGTCATTGAGGTATTAAAAGAGTATGTGATAACCTAATATGCAACATCTGTTGAAATTGTCATTTTTAGCAAACATTTGGAAATTCGAGTTTTCTCACAATGTTATAAAACTATCTCCTCTATCAGTTATCCACTGCACTTAAAACACACTACATCAATATTAAAACCATACTAAGTATACACTACCCAGTGTGTGGTTTTTTTTTCAGTTCAAGCTTACATACTTCCTGAAGTCTTGCCATGGACCTCCATGGTGTCCATGGACTCCTGGATAGGAATCCCTGATGTAAAGCCTATTAGGATTCTTTCAGATTCATGACTGCACTGGAAGAGTTGAGAAGTAGACATGCTTGCAGTTTATGCAACTTTTTCTCATATAGCTTAACCATTATATTCATACTCATATATAATAATGAATGGCTATGGGCCAGCTACAATTGGCTAGAGCAATAAGGAGATGACTATCTATCACTTAAATTAATGGGTAAAAATTCCAGATCAGAATGCTGAATTTGGAAGATACTACTACTCAAGAATCTTTTTTTTAAAAATGATATGAGGATCAAAAAAGGTTTACGTAGGTCGAAGAAAAACTTCTTCAACCTACGTAAACCACATCTACAGAAATTAGTTCATGAGATATCTTTATTATGAGTTTTTATAGCTCTCAAACAGGGTGTTTATTGCTATTGAATTTAATGAACTAAAGGTCTTTTGGAGAGATACCACGATCACTGGCCTCATTCTACAATCAATACATTGTGATCTTGCATTTAATTTAAAACTCTACATGGTTTGGGTCCAGGTTACCTACAGTATCACCTTCTCCCATACAATCAGCCCTGAGCATTGGGTCCTCTGGAGGGCAGCCACTCCAACCTGGCAGAACCCGACTGGCAACAGTCACCCAAAGGACCCTTTCATCAGACTGTTGAATGACCTGCTAGAAGAGATTTGGCAGCTATATCAGCGGTCAGAATTTAAGACACAATTGAAAACGTATCTCTTCCTGAATGCCTACCTGGTAAAATTTAAGTTGTAGATTTTAATTTGCATTTCATCCGTAGATTTTACCTTGTATTTAACTCTTGTATGTCATTTAATAGTGTTTTATCTCTTGTTTTAATGATGTTGCATCCTTCCCTGAGCCACAGGGTAAGGAGGGTAATACATTCATTATAATTGTGACTTTGGAGGGTTTTTTTTACAAAAGGGAGAGGGCTTCTTATATACCCTTGATACAGAATAACTTTGCACAGGAGCCTTGTTCATATAGAGGAGAATCGATGAGGAGTTGTTTAATGCTGATGAGGAGAGTATGGCTGTTTTCTGCCAGCAATAAGACCTCTTCTTACAAGACACAACCACATGTCACATTAACTCCAGGAATACATTTTACAATATGAAATTCTCTGAGCCTCTCAGGTCAAGTGAGCCATTTTGTGACATCAGTAGAAAAACGTACTTCACCCAAATTGCACACTAAAAGCTGACGCTGTTTATTTTAAGCATCTTTATTAATCTCTGCAGTACAAATCCCTGCAGTAACCTATTTGTTATTTTTGTTTATTTCCTACTGTGAAATAATTCCCTCAAAACCGCATCTGAAACAGTTGCACATTAACAAGAGTTGAGATCACCTAGGGCGCTAGATAGTATACATATTTCAAACATGCTGCTCTTCATAAAATGAAATGTTCTCTCTCCCTTATTATGCATGGCAATATATTTTTTTTCAGTCCAGTACAATTCCAATAATGCAGTTGTTCTGAGGCACCCCCTCTGTGGAAAATAGTCAATGACCCAATTACACAGACTGTGGTAGATATGTTTCGCATTAATAGACCATGAACACTTCTTCTATTGTAATTTGTTGTTTGTGTTTGCAGACAGCAGCAATGCAGTGGATGTATGAGATCAATGGCTTGCCTCCCCAGACTGTGCCACCATCTTCACCAGCAAAAGTTGATTGTCGCCGTCCATTTATGAGATCTGCAACAGTGCAACAACGCAACTATGTACGTGAAAATATGAAACTATTATCTACTGGTGTGTCATCCACTATTAAAGGAGCTCCTCTTATGCTTAGAGGAAAATGAAACTCCTATATCTCATTTATACAGAAGTCTATTTTGTGGTACAGATCTCTGTTCTAGTTCTATGTATACATCTATATATAGAGTGCATTGTAAAACAATAAATTTGATAGCAAATGCCAGCAATTCAGTGTATCATTTTTGTTACATCTATCTAGAAGAACACGGTGAATAATTTAACTGTAGTTTCTATTTCTTCATCAGTCGACAATGGCTAAGTTCTTAAAAACCTTAACATCAAGATAGCACTGCGTCAGTTTTTAGAATATCACTAAATCATAAGGAGATGGCTAAGCATAGAATATTGCTGTAGTACAAATCACGAATCAGTGTTGCTGAAACTAAAACAGGCAAATGGCTATGCAATATTTTATTTCGATGCACGTCTTTGCTAAAAGAACATCCTGCATGTATCACTACATTGATTTTTCTAATACCAACACAATAATTTGCTTATTGTATTTTTGCATCCCAAAATTGAACTTTCTCAAGATTTCTTGCTATTCTGTGAGTTTCTGAGAATTTTGGCAACTGCTAAAAATGCTCATTGATATTCTACATCAGACACTCAGTTATGCATGCATAATTCAGTAATCCTGCCTGACCCACATACTTGTCCCCAGTCCACATTAACAGGCAATGGCCAGATAGGCTAGGTGTGTTTATCTCATGATTGGAGTGTAAGGAAGATTATGTTTCCAATCACTTCCTGCCAGTGAATGAAGCTGCAACAATCAGAAGCAAGGCCCATGATGAAAATCCTTGTCACAAACTCTTTTGCCCGTTGGAGAGGCTGGAGATGTAATCTTCTTTGTATCCCGATTTCCAGTTGAACAGATATTGTTTCCATGATCCAGTTACTGGGAGTTGCAGCAGATTGAGGGATAGTTACATAATTTTACAGTAAAATTATGCCGCTCTGAGTAAAATGTAAGCCGCTCTGAGTCCCCTTCGGGGTTGAGAAGAGCGGGGTATAAATACAGTTAATAATAATAATAATAATAATAATAATAATAATAATAACAACTATGTACTCTTAGGCCCCTTCCACACACAGCTGTATAAAATCCACATTGAACTGGATTATATTGAGTGTGGACTCAGATAATCCAGTTCAAAGCAGATATTGAGGATCATCTGTCTTGATATTCTGGGTTATATGGCTGAGTTGAAGGGACCTTAGAGTATACGGAACAGTTACGCATCTGTAGCTTTAGGTTATGAATCTGTAACTGAAACACTGGATGCTAGCCAGCCACTACTTTTTGCTCCCTGTTTGCATTTTACTTTTTCTGAAGTAACCCTAAGAACTGCAAATTTTTAAAAGTTGTTTCAAGCATTGCAAACAGCAAGGGCACTTGGCAAGGCATGCCCTGCAGGAGGCATTTACAATACTGATGATGTGGAACTGGTAGAGGCTACTGATTTACTGTCTCTGCTGTGTCAGCTTCATTGGCAGGAGTACAGTAAAATTATATCAGTAGCACAAGTACTGATGAATTCTGGAAGAGCTATACTTGGCAAAGAAACTGAGAAAGATGCTGTAAGAGACACTTGTATTCATTCAGTCATGAAAGCCATTGGGATCTGGGTCAGTTCCCAACATACATTAAAGCATTCAACAAGTGGCAGTTTCTTACTGTAAGATGCCCATTACAATGAATGGACAGTATTTGAATGTAGCGAAATGTGTCTCTATGCAGCAATTCTAATCACAGTGAACACCAAAGTTGAGATCTGAAACTTTGTATATTGGTATTGTGGTTGGACCGAGGGTCTGTTCATTCACTTGATTTGATACCTCCTGGAAACATGCCAACAACAACACAACCCTGCTAGTCCAAGCAGATTACAGTATAAGTGTAGGTTCAAAAATCTCAAAGTCCTCAAAATGGCATGTCTCTTTTTTATGGCTTTTTTGTGTTCACACATTTTCATTTTTGTACTCCCATGTTGGGAGTTTGGAAGGGTTCAAATTGTTATGGTGAAGAATACGTAAAGGTAAAGGTTTCCCCTTGACATGAAGTCTAGTTGTGTCCAACTCTGGGTGTTGGTGCTCATCTCAATTTCTAAGCTGAAGACCCAACATTGTCTGTAGATGTCTCCATGTGGCCGACATGACTGCATGGAGCGCTGTTACCTTCCTGTTAGAGCGGTAGCTATTGATGTACTCATATCTGCATGCTTTTGAACTGCCTGCTAGGTTGGCAGAAGCTGGGGCTAAAAGCAGGTTTGAATCACCAACCTTTCAAGCAGCAAGTTCAGCAGCTCAGTGGTTTAATCTGCTGTGCCACCGGGACTCCATACAAATATACTAATGCTAGGGAGCAATCTGATGCCCCAAGAAAGAGAGAAATTTTATTCTATTCATTCCACTAAAGCATTCCTGTGTAGATATGATGAAATAGTAAGTTTGATTAAGGCTAGATCGTTTCCAGTAGATAGTAACCCAACACTCAATTGCCAAGGAATCATGGACTTTGTCAAGGATATTGGATAAGGTAGTGTTTTCCTTCCAGTTCTCCTGCATTATTACCCAGAAATTCTAGCACTTGCTTACAAGTTGGTTCTGTTCCTTTTTCAAGAAGGAGGTCCATTCCACAGTGATTCCTTATGCAGCTTTGGAGTTTTGTACTTCTTACATCAGTGTTTACTATATAGCACAGTTGATGGTGAGGGAACCTGGGACTTTCACTCCAACATCTGCATTTGAATACTTTACATTTTCAGTTTTCTCATGCTCTTGAAGTGCAACTTCAGTTCTTGGTTCTAACTTTCTCTTGGAGTGGGGAGTGTGGTCGGAGGGAGGTATAAAGTACCACCCCTCAGATCTCATGTGATCTCCAAAGCTGTTCTTGCAGCCCTCAGGACCTCAACTATTTTTGAGGAAACTGACCTCAAATGCCCCCCAAGGTAGGGGAACATTTTGCCATTTTGTTCTCTCAGGCTGTTTTAGGCATAAGGGAAGCTCTTTTTCAACTTGGGTCAAAAAGAGCCCATAGGTGTCAAAAAAAGTTGTTAAAAGTGGCCTGTTTTTTTTTTTGGGGGGGGGGGGGATTTGATGTAAAAAAATCAATTCTTTTTCAGGGTAGAAAGGTGTTCCAAAGTTTAGCAAGAGCAAATACAAAACCCTGAAAGTTGTTGAGATCTAGAATCTGCTTCAATATTTCTATTCTTACTTCAGTCTTTAAATTGTTAACAATTCCATTTACTCTGCATGTACAGTTTTGGATTCTGCTGCAATTAATCTTGGTGAGTATATTCTTCATGTAACTACCCATATCTGCCCCAGAGCAGAAGTGATCATCAGAAGATCTTTGGAATTCTCCAGTCTAGCTTAGGAGCAATCTTGACTAAGATAAAACCATACCAAAGGAAACGTAAACCAATGGCCAAGATGCAGTATACTTTTAACATGGTGTAAACAAATGCCAGTTGAGTTATAATTTATCCAACAGTTATAATGCTGATTATACAACAACTGTTACAGCTTGAGAACACCTGTTGTGGAGTAGCTCATTGTATCCTGTAAGTGAAGGAGTATGCATTTGCTTGTGAAATAATTAAGCACACAAGGGATTGCCCTTATTCAACCTCTGAGAAAGCATAACGACTTGCATATTGTTGTTGTTATCTACCTTCAAGTCATTTATGACTTATTGTGATCTTAAGGGAAAGCCATCCTAGGGTTTTCTTCATAAGATATGTTCCATGATGGTTTACCATTACCTCTCCCTGGAACTGAGAATATTTTACCTAACCAAATGACTTAATGGATTTCCATGGATGTGCAAGGATTTGAATGCTGATCTTTCAGAATCTTAATCCAACACTCAAACCACTATCTCAAACTGTTTCTCCCACAACTATATATTTATTCTAGTATAAAACGCAAACATGATTCTGGCTTATAGTCATTTTACCACAATCTAATTTTTTTAAATGGTTGCAAATCTGTATGACCAGTGAATTAGAACCTTGTTTGTTTGTTTCTCCAATGTATGTAAGAAAAATAATAGAAGTCCAAACCTTTCAGTAAGTCTAGAACATGTAAACCTAACATTTAGCATATGAAAGATAAATACCCTAGCTGTTTCTTGGCATTTATCTGCCTGCTAGATATTTAATAATTGCATTTATCCCTGCAGTGACTTCTGGTTCTAAAATAAATGGCTGAACAGTGTCTTAGTGCTGACACAGATCACAGTTTGTTGCTAATGGAATGTTAACTGCTTTTTAAATAACTCTGAACAAATCTGCTGATCCATAAAAGATTCATCAGAAAGGAATTCATTTCATCTCTTGGCTCTCTTGCCATCTCCGACATAAAACATATTCTTCCATAGTTGACTTTACTCCAGGCATTGTAATGCCAATAGCAGCACCCGGCTGGTAATAAGACATTCTAATGGGAAGACTGGGATACATTAGTAGCGTCATAAAGGGCAGATGATACCTGTGAAGGACAGATCGTATCTTTCAGAAGGTGAGACAGAAAAGAGGTTCGCTGCACACAGCATTTTCCTTGGTGCAAGGTTATGTTGAATTCCATAGGCTTTTGTGAATATAAAAGAAAGAGCAGAAGGAACATTTCAGTGAAATCTACATTTAAACCAAATGAAATTAAGGATGGGACAGTGCCATTTAGTATATCTAGCTGGATAGCTTTATCCTTTCAGAAACATCCAGTTTGTGCTTATGATGGTTATAGACTCACAAATTCTCTCAGTAGTAAGGCATGTAGCACTAAATGGGGAGACACTCATTTTACTGGTTATATAAAAAAAATCATGATTTGCATACTGTTGTGTTGTGATTTCCCTAAAGAGATGTGAATGAACACATTTGAAGGCAAGATGCCAATTGCAAACACCATGTTACAGGATGGGTAGAGCTACATCTGTTTATGCTTTCTGATGGGCTAAGAAACATGCAAGTACCTTTGTAGTGTCATTGGAGTGTTGGGAAACTGGCAGGTCATAATGTTAGTACGTTATCCACTCTGAATGAACATTGGTGCTGCCATTTTTAAATACAGTATGTCCATTGTGTCCAAGGGGAGGGGGTACCTATGGTTTCACCTATTCACACCCAATAAAACTGTCTTTAGGAATT